TCGAAATTTCAAGAAAATAACTCGAAATTTCGAGAAAATAACTCGAAATTTTGAGTTATGGATCCTTTTTTTTTAGTGGCGGAAACGGGCTTCCATACTAAACATTTGGCTGTTTTTTGTATTCTCCTCTGTTTTATAAATGTATAAAGTGCATATTTTTGGGGCTGTTGCTTAGATAAGACAAGTGCACCTAATTCAGTTGCAGTTGCATCTCTAGTTTACTTCTGGTACCTCTTACACTGGCCTCAAAGTAAACCATTGTTGCTAATTTTAATGGACCCTTCAGCTGAACAAATAGTTCAGGTTCTTTCCCGTTTCCTCTTAACAAAAGCCTGAAAGTGTTCCTTTTTCTAATTCAAGCATTCCTCTTGTTTATTTGGCCCTAAAATAACCATAAATAGCAAACGTTATGATACTGTAGTTTGTTATTCCCCGGGGAAAAGTGTAATAAAAGCACCTTACAGCCAGACAGGAAGCATCTGATGTCCAGATCACTGTTTTAGAAAAAAGGAAATGACCTGTTAGTTTACTTTCAAGTGTTTAGCATACATGTAATGAGTTAGCATCTAACTCTTGGTTTCTCCTGGTAACAGGGCTGTTTGCCTAGCCTATCATGAAATAGGTCACCAAAGGTTTTTTGTTTTTGTGCCCTCCTCCCTGCCTTTGCTAGTCACTTGTTACCTCAGCAAACACACAGACACACAGATTGACGTACCTTCTTATGCAGTTAAATGCAGCATCCTTCCAGAGTAAACAACACCACCTGCTCTGATGTGGAGTTTCATTTGAACATATGCGAAGGTTGCTGTTTTTCAAGGCTAATCCCTTCATCTGGTCTCCCGACTGGCTGTTTTCAGTGTGACCTATTTGGAAGGAAATGGTGATTAAGTTCTGAATGGGAGCTGAGCACGTAAACGTCAGGCCAGCACAATGATGAATTGGGGGAGAAGTACTGCGGCCAAAGTTAGAGGAGGTCAGGGGAGCAAAGTGCTCCTGTTGTGCTGTCTGCAAGAAGGTAGCAGTAGAAGCTACCATTGTCTGAGCTGTCATTATTGACTGATAAAGCTGCAGATTTCTCTGCACTATTATAGTTACTATTATAATCTTTGTTATTTTTGTAGTAGTAGTAACAGTAGTAGTTTTGGTGAAATGTATTATAAAATTAGTGGCTAAGTATAGGATTTTTTTTTGTTTTGTTTTTTGCTAATACGCCACGTTAATGTTTCATTAAGATTTTAACTCCTGCCTTAGATAGTGACAGTTAACCATAATATCTGAACACAGCCTTAAACATCTGCAGTAGTAATATTGATCCGTATAACACTGATTGAACATTTGTTCATCAGAATCATTACTTTTACTTTAACTGCACTTTACTAATAATACGGATGATCTGATATCCTCGTGTTGGTGTTGTTCCCAGACCATCATGAAAATGTTGTTCCAGGTTCAACATTGCAAGTGACCAATCACATTGTTGTGACGTTATTCTTTTGCGCGCCAAGCCATTCGTGCATTTATGAAATTGCAATGTTGCAAGGACAATATCAATTCTGCTTACTGTTTATTAAAGGGTTACGGTTAGGGTTAGGGTCAGGGTCCGTTGATCGGCGGACAGAGGCAGTTTCACGCAGCTGTAGAACAGTTTTTTGTTTTACGCCGCTTTTTCCCGAAGTCGCAAAAGTATGACGTCACAACATTCTGATTGGTCACTTGCAATGTTGATCCTGGAACAACATTTAGTATGATGATCTGGGAACAACACCAACACGAGGATATCAGATCAACCTAATAATACACAGTCTGACTTGTAGTGAGGTGTTTTCGTAGCATGTTATTGGTACTTGTATTTAAGGAACGGTTCTAAAAAGTAGTTCAGATGGTGATTAACTTTATTAGTATACTTTAGATACTACATAACATATGGGTGAATAAAAGTAACAGGTTCGTTGGATTGTTCTATATGTTCTGTGGAATCTTTAATGTTGCCATGGGAATTTTTCTTGTTGACAGCTCTGTGTATGACCCACCAGCAGTGGGTTCATGACCCACTGTGGAAAATTATTTTAAATCTTCTGGTTCTCTGAGCCAGTCATGAGCGGGCAGTCATGGGTTTTGCCCTCAGACACACTTATAAATACAGTATTTTAGACAGAGTGTGTGTGAGTCATAGATCTACTTTAGACAAACTCTGGTTCACATGAGTTACAACAATAATGAGCTTTGTGAGGAGTCCTTGCTTCACAGCGGATTCATTTCTGTAACACAAAATTAATTTGTGCTCAGCAGCAAAGTGATGGATCACACCAGGGCTAGTGGGCTTAAATGACAATAAGAGTATTAATAAACAATCTGAAGTTATCCTGTAAATCTCGGTCACTTATATCTCTATCAAACCTCGACACGAGGCTCAGAAGCGCTGCATGTTTATGACTGTTTGTCTGAAGGGGGCTTCTTTTCTTTTGTGAGTTAAGTGTGAGAATAGCACATTAATGTTCAGGCTTCCTGTATTCTTGGATCCGTGTCATGGAATCTCACTTGAAATGTGCAAATATCTCTTGCTGAGTGTGAAGCTCCATAATTGGCACAGCTAAAGATAAACTGGAATGATTCCAGTCTGTGAAGGTCTAGTACAGACTGTTAATCTCCCCATTTTATGATTTTGTGTATTTAAAAAAAGGGGTGTGTGGGGGGGTCTGTAGTGGTTTAGTCAGTTGGATTTCTTCTTGCCAAATGAGCCACGAAAATGATCCTCAAAAAGCCAATCTGTGCCACCAAATGTGCACCACATTTACTGGCTGGTGATCAGATTTCAGTTGGATTGTTTTTAAGGACAGATTTTATGTAGGTTTAATGTTTGAGAGCATGACTAACATTCCTGATGAGCACCTGGCCTGCAGATGTCTTACAGCCACCAGAGGTCAGGTTGAACTGTATCCCTGTGCATATTTATTTATGAAACACATCAAATCAAATCACTTCTATTGTCACATCACATGTGCTGGTACACTGGGACAGCACATGTGAGTGAAATTCTTGTGTGCAAGCTTCACAAGCAACAGAGGTGTGCAAAATACAATAAGAATCTGAGAATTATGAGGATAAATATATGTACAAATATAAGAATGTATGCGCTTTACTGAATATGTATATATATACACGTGTGTGTGTGTGTGTGTGTGTGTGTGTGTGCATATATATATAAAATAAAATACACAATATACAGAGGTAAGCAGTTGGATCGCTGGGTATCTTTATGTTTGTTTAGTATTTAGGTAGATTTTTGTTAGTACCTCTAAAAATTGTGTTGTTTGTCCAGTATTATGCCAAATGTTGGGAAATGTAATATGAACATAGGAAACATCCCACAGTGAAGTGCACTAGTGAGATTGTGGGGCAGTGAGCAAGTCGGCTCTCATCCAGTTATAAAAATATTTAAATGTAACCTTTCTCATTTTGCCCAGAATACTGTTTATTCATTTAATTAGTTTGTCAGTAATTTGGCTCATCCTGAATAAGGTTGAGTTACACTGGACATTGGTGTCTCACTGGCAAACAGGAAGTGACACATTACAAAGCTGTATGGTGGAG